CTCGGTCCAATAAAAAATTATTCTAATATATCCATTAACATTGTTATTTATTTCCTTCTGCTACTTGGCGGGATATCACCGATCGCACGTGATCTATTGTTCGGTTGGTGGAGTTGGGTAGTAAGAATTTAATTAATTTTGAAGCGTAATTCAGTTTTTGGGGTGAAACATTATGCGCTCATTGCATTTAGTTAATTGTCCTCAAAAAAAAAAATCTGCGCGGTTGGTGCTTTTTAAAAGCGTATAACCTCAAACTCAGTTGCCAAAATATAACAAATAACTACGTTATTACATCAAACTGATTGGGGTGAGTATATGTGATGCAGGTATCACCGTTGAATGGAAAAAAAAACTTGGCCAATTTCTTTTGTTCGGTAAGTTATTTGCTACCACTGTACCGAACGTACGAGCAACTTTGGTTCTTACGGTCATCTAGGAAAGAGGGTACTAAAGACCGAGAACATCTCTGCATCTCTACGCCTGTTACTGAGGGAAAATTGTTTGTCAGTAAAGGCGGAGAATGATTAGGTCTTGATCTAGAATCAATTGTGCTTGATCGATGGTTTAAATCACCCTGAATCCTACTATATACAATTTATTCGAACTTTAAATTCATTAAAATTAGAGAAAATTTGCCCAAGATTTGCAAATATCACACCTCTTCCAAGGATCCTGAAAAGATTTCAAATTTTGTGAGCATGGAGTGATAAAATTAAAAACATGCAAATTGCAATTTTCTAAATCTTGAATCTAGAATCTTGAACTTGATCAAAGCTAAATATTATATTTTTTTCTCTGTATTTTTTTACGTAGGACTACGTCTGTGATTTTTATATGGGGGGTACACTTTGTGGAAACCAAAAATGGAACATGTAACGAAGTTATGAACGGTTTTCAAACGTTAATTACTCTGCTGCCCCTGGACCAATTTTAATTATTTTATCACCAATCGATAAGAAATATTTCTACGCATCAATAACAATGCTTCTGACCGTTTATTTTCAACAATAAACTATTGAAATATGGTTTATGTCAAGCATTGCCCAAAACCGGCGAAATAACTAACAAATCCACCAATTACGTACATGCATATGCTGTTTCAGATAATCGTTTCTAGACGAAACATGTCGATGTAGGATTTCTGCTTCCCCAACAGAGTCATCAGAGAGTCGTTAGTAGACGAAACAAGACGAAGTGGCATTCACCTCCGATCTTCGGGCGTGTGCGAATAGGGACACTCATCACCATATTCAGCACCACATGCCCCCAACGACCACACAAAATGTTCTCCAGAGTTGTAATCTTGTAACCAAACTTGGAAATAGGGTTGAAAGTGATTTTGTTCGATTCTCTTCATCAACTTTCTGTTTCGTTAATAACTCGACGGCAAACACATTCATTGATACGTTTGTTGTTCTGGAGGATAGAAGAGCATGGCAGAAATAGTGCGAAATAGGTTAGTGAAGCCATGATCATCAAAAGAGGAAATCGATGAAGAGAATTGACTTTTATCCCTTTGTTTCTAAAACCATTAATTCAGTCGTAGTAATTGCAATGAAAACTTGCATCGCACTGCTCTTGGTTCTTGGGTTACACTTGTTGGTCGCAACTCTGCTGTACGACGTTTTCGAAAGACCACCAAAAAACATGAAATTACACTTTTTCTAGGGATGCCTAAGACTCCAATTATTCGATTAACGATTATTCGTAAAGATTTTTCCAGCTATTCGATTAAATATTTATCGAATTTTCAATTATTCGAGCGCGTAGCCCCTGTCCAGCAGCAGACGGGCCGAGACTCTTGCGAGTGCCCAATCATTGAACCGAAGAATATGGGATTGTCCGGTCCGAATTTGCTGATCTAGCTGCCTACACGTCATCATCATCTTCCAAAGGCTTTAAGCCTTTTCAGGGCAATCATAGTCATACTAAAGAGTATAAGCAGAGAGAACCCCGGTCAAATTCCTATTCCTACACATAACACAAGTTCCTGCTGCAGTTAACAAATAACATTTATTTTATAAGACCACGTAGTCCTACGTCACCATTGCGTACAACCCCATAGGGATGTCTCTTGCAGTTTTTTCTTGAATTGTTTTCCGTGCGGAGGCAGCTCCCACACCTGGACCCTACCTATCAGCCCATCAACTCATGAACCGGGAACCAACGGCTTTACTTTCCTTCCGAATGAAGGTGTGATCAGAAATGTTATGCACCAGAACATCCCGGCGACGCTCACTGGGATTGAACCCAGGCCTGCTGGGTGAGAGATTATCACGCTTACCACTACACCACCGGCGCCGCTCTTTTTTTCTGTAGATACTACGAAAATTATAAAATGTCTCAGACCCTTGTTTTTGTGTTTCGTCTCTTCAAAAATAATCATTAAAAATATTGTTAAGAATTGTCGTCAGGAATTTCTTTTAATTTTAAAATATTACAAAAATTTGCAAAATGAGTCAAACCCGAAAACATTGCTTTTTTATCTCTCAAACCAGTATTTTTTTATATTTTTACGTGTCTGACTCGGAGCATGATTCAGAATATTTTTCAGATTGTAATTGAACAAGAATTAAAAGTAAATGGTGTCATTTTTATCATTGCCATTTCTTAAATTATTGTTTTATAGTTAGTAATTTATCGACAAAGTTTCATTTTCAACATTGAATACATACTTTGACTATATGTTTAGTATTACTTATGCGTGAAGTCAACGATTTACATAGTTGAAGATGCTAATTTCAAATAACAGACTGTAGTGGTAATTTTTATACGATAGATGGAGTAGATGAAAGCATAGAGTTGATAGTTCCGTTAGAGTACGGCAGTGTGCAATTTTCACATTGCCGTACTCTAACGGAAATATCAACTCTATGCTTTCATCTACTCCATCTATCGTATAAAAATTACCACTACAGTCTGTTATTTGAAATTAGCATCTTCAACTATTGAATACATAGTTTGTTGAATTTTGAAAATCATTTTATTCCAATTAAGTGCATATTTTAGGTATCGATTTAGATAAAAGAATACAGCTTCATCCGTAGATTGGTCAGCTCCCGAGCTGAATCAGTTATAGATATGATTTTAATTCATATTTTATGTGCTTAAACGTTGTCATCTGTATCATAAATTTAATTCAAAAGTTTTTGTTCATTAAATAGTGCTTTATATTCGAAAATAGGTACATACATTGACTTTACGTGAATCTGGCGCAAAGTTATGAGTCAAGCTCCCATTTAATTTGTTTTTAAATAATTCAATAAATAAATTAATATTATTAAATTACTGAACCACCCTAGTAAATAATCACGTAACGAACCGAATGCCAAGTGATGGTTAAATTCTATGTACACATAGTGTATACAATGTTTCTGAGCGTAAACATAGCTTAACACAAAAATATTTGTACGATTTTTGCTTCATCAAAGTATTTATTACAAGTAATTTCGAAATTAAAAATAAATGAACCACCCTATGGAAGTATTTCAAACCGTAGTGCCGGATGCACATAACATACCTGTTAAGTTGGTTCAAAATATCGATTTTACACCACCAAGCTCCATCGATTCCAAATCGGGTCCTGATCATTCTCTTAAAATTTGAGCTCATTTTAATGCCCTTTGAAGTTTATATGGGAATTAATATGGTAAAAGTGATCTTTTTGTTCTCACTGTTCTAGCCCTTCTTCATAATGATTTACGAGTATGCTTGCTATACTTTTTACGAGAAATTTTATCAGCTACAACTTTGCTATTATACTTCAATTAGTTATTAATTGATTTCGAAGCCGATAACATTCTGATATGATTAATCAACTGATTTATGGGCAGCACTGCATCTTCCACTTGCTTCTTCTCGCCAAGTACACCAATGTTGCCTGCTGAGTAGTTGATGGAGCATGCCAGAAGAACATCATCTTCGTAATCAATTAGTAACTAATTATCCTGATGTTCAATTGAAATGTGATCTTGAGCAAAGTTGTAACTGGAAAAATTTAACATTTGTACAGATAGCAAACTATTCTGTATGTCATAACGGAGATGGGCTAGATTGATGCGAACAAAAAGTTCAACTTTTCGCATAGTAATTCCAATATAAACTACAAAAGCCTATTGCAGTATGAGTTCGCATCCAAATGAACTAAAATTTAAGGGAAAACTATCAGGACTAGATATGAAATCGATTGAGCTTGATGGAACAAAACTGATTTTTTGAACCACCCTAGTATCTGTGTTACTCTTGTGGAAATATAATATTTAATTTTCTGAAGTGTTTTTAGATGCATTCAGTGAAAACTAATGATGTTTGAGTTTATTTTGAACTTTCAAATATTAAATGGACCACCCTAATGAAAAAATAAGGGAACCACCTTAGTAATGTATCACGCATTAGATGCTAGCGATGGGTTTAAATGATACACAAGTAGATTTGAAATAGTTGTGCATAGTTTTAGAAGCCAATTCATCAATGTTCCTTTTCCAGCCTACGACTAACGAAACAAAGTCCCTAAAAGTTGATTTTTAACAAATCAAAATTTTCGTGAAAATACCAGATCTCGACGTTTCATGCATTTTAAAGTCATTTCACCAGTGATGGAAAAGTTCTCGAAAACTCACTATGATTCGCGAACTTTTCCCTTGGTGAACTTCGTGAAATATCGCGAACTTTTCCAACACTGCATTTCACATCAAAAAAAATTTTCGAATTCCAAAATTTCATGTGATCTTTCGGTTTTCAAAAATCTTAAACTTGGACGATTTTACGCCATCCCAAAATCATGTCTAATTGAGCCCAAATTTTGCACAGGGTTATTTTTCGAGGCAATACACATTTTGTATATGGTCAGTTTTTGGAAATTCAAGATAACCATTTTCATTGACATCCTAGCCTATATATAAAAAATATATCACGCTTGTTCCTTTAGAGCATTTCAGGATATATTTATAAAGTGTCCGAAATATGTATCAGAACGGAAGGTAAGAATCGATCAAACTCACCAGAAACTTATCCTTCACGATACCGGACGTGTACAGGATGGTCTTGATGGCCGGATCCGGACAGCGGTCTTCGCCATTTCCCCGTTTCCATATGCAGTCCTCCTTGGTGGTGTTGTAGGATCCCGGGTCCCCGAGGTAGAGCGCTTGGGTCAGCAGCAGCTGGGCCTGCGCATCTATAAAATGATCTTGCGGTTTGTAAAGTACACTAGATCGGATCACATGCGTTTAAATGTACAATCGTGTTCCCACTGACTGTAGGGCAAGAGAGACAGAAATAAAGAAAAACGGCAAAGAGAGAATGTGCCTCAAATTGATGAAAATAGAGCTGGTGAATAGAGACAATAAGTGGGAAAATGGAAATTTTAGGGTGGTCAAAAGTATATGCATGTGCGTTGTTGTAAGCAATGTGTTATCGAAGGAATAGGAATAAACAAGAATCGCAAAAGAGAAGCAGTTGGTTAGTAGCCGGTTGAAAATGGAAATGTCAGTGGAATTATGTTGTACTGGAGTCCGTTTTCGTTTATTGGTCAAGCCGATTCGATTCGATGGCTTCGATGGAAGGTCGACTGAGCAAGACGGTTCTATGAGCATGTCGTCGGTTGCATGGAATGACGGATGACGATGTTGACTCGAAGCTCGATGAGTGGTGGGCCACGTCTTGATGAACAGCTGAGTTTGGACAATCTCTCTTCAAAAGATTTCACAAATTTTACACTTACAAATCACGAAACTGCCACACATGAACACTGAAGTCAGAACGATTTTCATCATTATCAACATTTTGCCACACAGGTTTCCGATTTCTTTTCGCTTAAAGCACTTGAACTTGAGTCTAATTAGTTGTCAGCGCGGTAGGGAAATCCTTACGCTTTGAGTACCCCTCAAGTAGGTTTGAAAATTACACTTTTATGTTTCAATTGCCACTCTTTATTGCACTGCCAATGCTCACTCCGAATGAATTAATCTATGCGCGGGAAATTATTACGATCTTTTTCCACTTGACTTTGAATTCGCAACAGCTCTTGAAAACGCACCGATTCGGAATGAACAGCCTTCGCAGGTTTTCCAGTTACTGCACTTTGCTGGTCTGATGGGCCAGATTGGACTGACTCACAGCACTATACCTTGCGTACTTCGCACACAGCATTCGCCAATATACTATTCCACCTGAACCGAGGGCTCTCCTGCTATAACCGACTGGTTGTGATTCGTTGGTTAGTTGACTGGGTATGGTCAGCAGCTATACGTCCGCTTTCGAGCACCGATCGATCGGTGGGCCGGCAGGTGGCTGTTTGTGCATGCTGCACATGCGGATGGGAATGAATAATTTTTAGGTTCATTCATAATGTCATGACACTTTAATGAATGTGCGCGCCCGGTTTATGAGAGTGTTCAAGAATGGAAAAAGAAGCACACCATCACCCTTGGGGCACCGGAGACGGCGATGGACATGCGGAAAACCGTTATGCAAAAGTGGGTCATCGATTGTTTCGACGGTGATGATTTGCGGCTTGTGTTCTAAATGTCAAAACACAAAGGAGGCCTTCGTGTAAAAGTTCATCCCTGGTGTGCGGTGGTTGAACTTTGTAGACATGAGGGAAGTACAATGAAGATTTTATTTTATTTTTTATGTTAATTTGTGATTTTTGTGCTTCAAATCCTAAAATTACAAACTGAAGGAATATTTCCATTGGATAACTCAGAATTTTTCAATTGGCTTTAATTTTCACTTGAGTATTGAAATGTGATTTAAGAACAGTAAATGATGGCTTCAGCAATACGTTAACATATTATCGCTAGGAGGATAAATAATGTCCTAGAGTGTTTAAATTTTGGTCAAACGATGCAATGAAAAATGATGCAAAAAATTAACGTTCGTGGACTTAAGTGGATTCTAGGATAAGGTGTTAGGAAAGCCAACATTTACCATACATAATCAGGTTGGAGCTAAACATGTTATACTACTTCAATAGTGAGCAATAAGTAATGGTAGAAAATGTCTCTATTTTTTTTTTATAATTTGTGATATCAAATGAACAGAATTGAAATTGAAAGACCTATAATCTTTAAAATAAATTTGAACTCTCGAAAAATTTGCTGGATTTTCGTTAAATGTCCGCAATATCATAATCGTTTTAAGTCCCTGAACATTTATGATTTGTTCTTGTCCGAGATCTTGCAAAAATATCTCCCACAATACCCACAATTCATTTTAAGTTCTTTTTTTTTTCTTGTGTTGGGGACATAATACCACCGCGACCATAACTTTGATCTATTGTGGTGTATCCTCTTTTGATTTTGCCGTAACGCAATGGCAAGATGCTATTTATATGAGCAACCACCACTACTGTTGTTGGCAATTATCTCAAACAGGTAATGCATTCCTTATGAAATGCATAACTTGATTGGGAGAAGCAGCCCAAATTTCCCAGGGTTCCATAAGCCCCTTATCTAGATATATACGTCGTTTGTGAAATAGTGCAACGCAGTCACACAGCAAATGTTTAGAGCTCTCACTCTCTAGTTTACAAAAACGGCATCTGTCTTCATCAACTTTTCCGATAAGTTTAAGGTGATATTTACTAGGACAGTGTCCTGTAATCAAACCAGTATATGTACTCAAATCGTGTTTCGATAAGGTCAGCAGTTTTTGTGTGTGCAAAGCGTTGGGCTCTATGAAACGTTTTGATTGCCGGGCATTTAAGGTATTATTCCAGGTGCACTGTACCTTTATTCTTTCCCAGTTATTGAACTCCATTTTAAGAGCACAAAAAGATAATCCTAAAAATGGTTCAGGTCCAATAAATTGCATTGATGATCCCACTTTAGCCAATTGATCAGCTTTTTCGTTCCCTTCGATTCCGCAATGACCAGGAACCCAGTATAGGTTAACCTTATTACAGTAGGACAAATGCTGCAATAGCTTAGTGCATTTCCAAACCAGTTTTGAAGTGCAAGTTTTGGACTTTAGAGCATTCAACACTTCTTGGCTATCTGAACAAATACATATGTTTGCATTTTTATAATTTCTTTTTAAGCAAATCGTGGCACATTCTAGGATGGCATATATTTCAGCTTGAAATACTGTTGGCCATTTTCCCATCGGCAAATTTTCCGCGAACTATAATAACAATGTCGTCAGCAACTTCAAATCCTTGATGCTTTAACTTTAAAAGAAGATCATCAACTACCAGAGACCACAGAAGTGGAGAAAGAAGTCCTCCTTGAGGACAGCCTTTTACAGCTGTTACTTTTACTAGTGCATCTAAAAGATTAGTTGATATTTCTCTTTTGGATAGCATCTCCACAATCCATTTAATTATGTTTTCATTAAAGCCACGATTTCTCATGGCGTTTATCATTGACGAAAAAGACGCATTGTCAAATGCACCTTCAATATCCAGAAACGCTGCTAATAGAATTTCCTTTGCTGTGAAGGTTTTTTCTATTTTAGTAACTAGCATATGAAGAGCTGTTATGGTGGATTTGCCTGACTGATAGGCAAATTGGGCTCTACATAGTGGGTTACCATGAAGAACATCTGATTTGACATATTCATCTATAAGTTTTTCTATTAACTTCAAAAATATTCATGAAAGACTTATTGGTCTAAATGATTTCGGTGAAGTTTTGTCTTTTTTGTTTGCCTTAGGTATGAACACCACCCGGACTTGCCTCCATATTTTTGGTATGTACCCTAGAAGAAAGCTCGATTTGAAGAGCTTGATTAAAATAGGAATTATTAAAGTTTTGCACTTTTGGATATGTGCTGGAAAAATTCCATCTACACCTGGGGATTTGAATGGGCTGAAAGAGTCTATTGCCCATTTAATTCTAGAGTCTGTAAATAGAATGTTTGCTAGATTGACAGCCTCCTTGTTGAACACTACTAGTTCACAAGAGTTATTCATTCTAGTAGTACCATTTTGTTCTTCACATCTTAGAGATGTATCTTGTATGCAGTCAGTAGTAGGACTAGACCCTGGAAAATGAGAATGCATCATCATTTCCAAAGTTTCTGTTGCATTTATAGTAAAAGAGCCATCAGCTTTTTTAAGAGCTCCCAGGCCGTTAGAATGGTCCTTTGAGAGAATTTTATGAAGCCTTGCAGCTTCAGGAGTGCTTTCTATGTTTTCACACATGTGCCTCCAGTCTTTTCGCTTGGATCTTTTTATTTCTCTGTTATACTCACTTAGAGCCTCTTTATACTGAGACCAGTTTGCTGTGCATTTGGCAGAATTGAATAGTTTCCTAACCCTTTTCCTTAGTTTTTCTAATCTATCATTCCACCATGGCACATTTCTGTTAGTCGTGCGCACCTTTGCAGGGCAACTAATATTATAAGCCTGATTTATATTGCTTATTAGGCAATAAGCAGCTTTTTCTAGCTTAGAAATTGAATCAAAATCCTGTAAAATAGGCTCATTTTGACTCTGAAGACTGAAGCTGTATAGCTCCCAATTTGTTTTACGAGGATCTCTGTAAGTTTCCTTTAATACATCATTGACCGTGAATTCAAACATAATTTGCATATGATCAGATAAAGAAATTTCATCCGATACATGCCAATTTACTATACGATCTGAGATTGTTGGACTGCAAAGTGTTAGATCCAACACCTCTTCCCTTATTGAATTAATGAATGTTGGCGAATTACCCTTATTACATATATCAATATTTCGCTGAGAAATGAAATCAAAAAGTGACTCACCCCTTTTGTTGATCCCCGAACTACTCCATATCGTATGATGGGCGTTGGCATCACATCCGATGATAAAGGCTTTATTTTGCCTTCTGCAGTATGAGACAAAGGCTGCAACATCAAGAGGAGGTACATCATCAACGTCGCCAGGAAAATAAGCGGATGCAATGAAAATCTCCGTTTTTCCTTTCGTAGTTGGCACCTCTAACAAAATTCCAGCAATATCTCTGTTGATAAGTTCTGTAATAGGTGTAATTTTAGCATTACTGTTCACCAGAATTGCAGCTCTTGGTACAAGCTGAGTATTGGCATAGATTAACTTACACGATTGTGTAGGCATTCCTAAAATCCTACTGTGATATGTCCAAGGCTCTTGAAGAAGCGCTACGTCCAGTTTGCCTTTGATGAATGTCTTACATAGAATTGCGGAAGCTGCCTTTGCATGATGAAGGTTTTCTTGTATAAATTTGATACTTGTTCCGGTCATTTCTATTTCTGTGAGCTACTATTTTTACCATGTTAAGTTACACAACCTTAAAAAAATAATTCAAACCACATAATACTGATGTGATTCTAAGGATCGGAATCTTACAAACAGAGATCTTGAGAATTTTTCCAAGGTATGAGGCGAATTGCCGAAATCTTTTAAATTTACATGGGCCAAAATATTTTTATAGCTCAGTAAGTTTTTTTTTTCAAACCAAGGATCTTGAAAATTTCCCAACACTGATAAAAATTCAAAGATTATTTTTATGTGTCCCACACATAAATTTTTGGCAATGTGATAAACAAATGATATTTATGTGTCGGACACATAGTTCTTATGTGTACGCATAAAATTCATGTGTAACCACACATACTATTCATTTGACTCATAAACCTCATGTGTACTTCTGAGTGGATTCTGATTATGTGTGGTCACATGAAAATCATGTGGAATTTTACATGAAAATTCGCCAATAAAAATTTGTTGTTGAATTTTATGAATGTAGGTTTCTGTTAGGGATTTCGATTTTTTTTTATCTAAATCTTGGTCACGAATATTTTAATTAACATGTGTGATGATTTTGAACGGTGACATAAATACCTGTTCAAATTTATTTTAACATTGTATGCATTGATAATCAATTTTAAAGAGCGTCCAGATTTTTGGACTATGTGTCTGGATTCCAATGTATTACGGTAATACATATCTGAAGACAACCAGCAACTTATTCGTATTCCTTGATAAAAGTTAAAATGCCTTAAGAACGCAGTACAATTTGTGTGATTCTAATACTTTAACATTCCGAAGCTAAAAACAGTGTAAGCGTTCGTTTCAGTGTGCACCTTTTTCAACAGCACAAAAGTACACGGAGAAAAAAATTTGAGTTATCTTTACTTCATATTGAGTTCAGCCTCTCACTTGCACTCTTTATTGTAGTCAAAAAAGGAACGAGAGATTCGACCCAACGATATTGTTCAGCCCAATAAGTTACTTCTCAAATT